TGTAGACTGCTTAACTCTTTGTAGACTGCTTAACTCTTTGTAGACTGTTTAACTCTTTGTAGACTGCTTAACTCGTTGTAGACTGCTTAACTGGTTGTAGACTGCTTAACTGGTTGTAGACTGCTTAACTCATTGTAGACTGCTGAATTATTTGTAGACTGCTGAAGGTGAGTTACAGACGTGTGCATGAACCTGGACAACAAGGGCAAATTCATCACCAAAACGTGCACACAAAGCGTCTGCCGTGCACTTCATCCACGTCTGCTCCGTTAGGTGTGCCTGACTGAACTCAGTCTGATGGAAATGAAGGATTCTCATGCGTCGCTGGTAAAAGTTACTGAAACAATGTGGAGAAGAGTTCATAGATTCTTTTTTTTTTAAGTTCAGGTTTTTTTCAGTGCTGCTGTCACGTGACATTTTCTTTCTTGCATTAAACAAACTTCTTTTTGAGTCACGGGCGTTTAGTCCTCCTAACAAAAGAGCAGCTTTGACCCAGTGTAGGGGGGAGGGGGCATTAAGAAGCTTCTTAATGTTCAGGAGCTGAAAAGATAAGAAGAACTTGCAGAGAGTAAAACGTTATAGTTAGTTGTTGTGTTTGACCAACTCATATCAGATGTTTTGTCTCTCCTGTGCCAGCGGTGTGTCTCAGTGACTCCTTCAGAGCCCTGGTCCTCAAGAATGGAGACATTTTATGATATTCCTGCCAAAGCAGTGGAGAGAGAATAAAGAGCACTTCTCCCCCCATTTTACAGCTCACTGATAAACAAAGTTGCTGTTCTGACCTTCAGCCCACGAGCAGCAAGATAGATGTAATACACTGAATACAGTCAGAGCTAATGCTGTTTAATTACTGCATTGTACTAAATTAAATAATAAACTTTAAGCATAGACAGAAATCAATGACACAAGGGTTATCCAAACGGTTATCTCTCTGGCCTCAATTCATAGAATTATTAAACATATTTGTTGTCAGTATTAATCCCTGCAGAGATATTTAAATCCCTGACACTGAATTTTCAAATTGTCTCCAACTCGGATTCACTTGTCCTGGTGACACGGTACAGGAGGTTCATAACTAAAGCCTAATGTTACACATACCTGCCACGTGTGTAAAACACAGATATACAAGTATGCAAATGAATGTGCAAAATAAAAAGGAAAAATATGCTGAAATATAGGATTAAAATAAAATGTGCAAAAGCAAGAAAAATACAGATATTGGCAAACTACAAGTATTTATTTCCAGTGTTTGTCTTTAAATAGATGACTCGGACTGATACTGTGGAGTGTACAATATTGGAGTAAAATTGATTTATAAATTAATTTAGTTTGTTTTGCCTCAGTTGTTTTTTTTTGTTTGTCATTTTTTAACCTTTTTTAGAATCTCTTTGTCCAGTTTCGCCTCTTTTAGACTTATTTCCCCAAAGCTGTGTCTGATTCAACTCACAGTAACAAAGCTTTATTACACTGCACTTTTCATTTGACCTTTTTGTTTTGAGCATCATCATATAAACCAGGTTTCCTCTGATCAACTCAAAAGCCCAGATTCATTATCACTAAATCAAAGCTGTTTCTACCTAATTGTTTTTTTTTTTCCTCACCTCAGGTCAAAACTCATCACCAGGTCACAAAAACAACACAGTCACTCTTTTGACACTTTTATTAAACAAAAACTGCTCAAAACTATAGTGCAATTATAAACATTCAATCAGAAAAAGAAAAGTTTTTGTTTTCCTCTACCAAGGCCTCCACACACTCTGCTCAGCTTCACTGCACTCAGAGTTTCTGTGAGCGGAACTTTCTCGGCTGTTTTGCGCAACAAGTTGTTTGGTGTCACGTGACTGGCGTGCGTCTTCACTCTGCGCACAAGGAGCTGTGGGTGCAGTGCGGAGTCCATGCGCTTCACGTGGAACCGTTTGTTCCCCCCCAGCTCCGTTTTGCACAACTGCGCTCTGGTTCTGTGCGTCAGCTGGGTCCGGGCCGCTGTCCGTGGTGCTGCGCGCCTCCTCTTCCTCCTCCCTCCTCCTCCTCCGGCAGCGCCACAGTCTGTGGGAGAGCTGCGCCAGCGCCCAGCGCTCACCGCCGGGCAGGGTGTCAGCCATCAGCAGGTACTGGTGCACGTGGGTGAGGCAGCTGCGGAACCCGAGCTGGAAATCAGGAAAGTCCGAGGCGGCAGCAGCGCCTGCAGGGACACGAGACACCACGAGCTCATCAGGAAAAAAACAAAAACGTTTTGCTCAAACAAGCTTCAATAAAACAAGAAATGAATGAAGAGGAAGGTCCAAACTCACAGCTCTGAGTCTTTTGAAGGCTCCTCAGGTGTTTCACAGTGAGCTCCAGGATGTCAGCCTTTTCCAGCTTGCGCTTTCGGATCTGAGTGAATGGAACTGATTACTTAATGGATCCTTTCTAGTAATTATAATTATTTTGAATCTAGTGTTGCGAGGAGAATAGAGTCCAACACTTTGCTGCACACTCACGCTACTGCTGTAGTAGCTCTGCAGGAGGCACTTTAACTCATCCAAACACTGGTTTATACGAGCTCGTCTCTTCTTCTCCATCAGTGGTTTGGACACCTGCAAGGACAAATCAGCTGATTAGAGTCTGATTATGTTCTTTTAATCTCACAGAGTCCTGGCGAATCTTTTCCAAACCTTATGTCCAGCAGCTTGTTTGGCCTTCTCTCCGCAGCCTGCAGTTGCAACCATTCTCAGTTTCTCTTAAGTGAACCTCTTTTCTCCTCTGCCTCCAGAATGAGGGAGCTCATTTATATAGAGACACCCACTTAACATCTCAATGCAAACAGAACCGCCTGCATGCGCGAGCTTCACGTCAGACCAAAGACTCGGCACAGAAAAGTTCACATTTTGATAAAACACATGACTCAAATCACTGTTTGACGGATTTTCTATTTGAAAACTATTTATAGGGATTTCTATAATTGTTTAAGAATCATCTGACAAGACGTGGGTGGTCAAATTAATTTGATGGGCTCTATAGAATAAGAATGGTTGGATATAAACCAACATGTCATTGCAGTCCTGTGCATGTCTGCACCTTACAGTCAACGTGTGGGGCGTAAAAATCAAATAAAGCGTAAAAAAAATAACCACAATGGTTCTGTTTCTTGTGCATGGAGGGATCTGCTGACTCCTGTAATTCAATCTTTTATATGTGTGTTTCACGCCACCTGGTTGAAGGCAGCACCGTGGTAATTCCCTTCATGTTCCCAACAAATTTCGATTTTCTGGTGGCCAATGATTGTAAAACTTTCTGCAGCTGCAAAGTCTTCTGATCAGCTAATGCATATATTTGTTTGGAGACATTCTGTGCAACAGCATGATCAGCAAACCAATATTGAGCTATTAGAATAAAAAAATGGTGAATAAAAAAAAAACAAGTTTAAGGTTGCTTTTAAACTTTTAGGATTCTTTGGCTTTTGTGCGTCGCCACTTTTTGTCTTGGAGGCACCAAGGAGAATCGCAGGACGCCCCCTCGCCTCCCGATTTTCCACACTTCTCCCTGAAAAGAGTTAAGTCTTGGGAAAAGTCAAGCCAGCTGAAACAATGCGAGGGTCCCTGCAGACTTTTTGCGCATCTTGCGCTCACACACAGACTCAAATACTAAAAACGACTGAAAATCTTGAGCTCGAGGCTTTTATGTTGCATTGTAAAGTTAAATGATTTGATGGCAAGCATCTGCAAAGAAAGTTGATTTAGGCTGCGCGTCTTCACCTCATGTTGTTGTGGTTTGCCTGTAAACCACAGCGGCTGTCGTAAAGAAATGCGGGACAACTGGGGCCATTTTTTTCTGGTCAGCCAAAGAGGGCGCATGAAAAGAACCCAGTTTATAGCAGGGCCAATGATCTTTTATATCTGTCTGCTGTGGCCTGAAAAAAAGGTCCTTTATTCAGAGTAAAACCGGCGCACAAACTTGCTGCTGCCGCAAAATACTTGCGCTATTTCTGTAACCAATATTTAAAATGGACTAAACTTAATATAACATAACATAACATAACCAAACGCATAAAAATGTCTATATAATGACAGTGTTACACAATTAGTGTTTCCTGTCAGGCTTGTTTGGAAACACTAATTGCGCTGCCACCTTTGCGTCATGCGCATTTAATCAGTATGAAATCTGTTCGGGATGCTCTGCAAGAGACTTCTCCGGTGTCTTTTGTCCCATCAGTGCTCCACATTATCTGTGTTTTCACGCCTGTTTTTTTTTTATTTTATTTTATTATCACAGAACCGTGGAGGGCTGATTCCAGCGTGACGTCGCTTGTCTTGTCTTTCTGCGCCGCTGAGGACAGATTTCACCGCAGATTACGCGCTATAATTTCAATTAGTGTTGGCTTCTTCTCTGTGCATGGGATCAAAGAACAGAGTGGGGACGTAGAAGCGCGCGCGTGGTGGGGAGGGGGTGCTCACGCGTGCTCTGCTGCAAACGAGCGGAGCAGCTCCGTCTCAAGTGGTGAGGCCATCATCTCTCCATGAGAAAGGCGCAGCAAGACGCCTGCGCGTTAAATAGACGCGCTCCATTACATGACAAGTAAAAAAAAAAAAAAAAATGGTGGGGGAGAAGACTTTTTTCTCTCTTTTCTCACTTTCACTTTTCAGCTTCAGGTCATTTATTAACCTCATCAGACCTTTGTCATGGATTCCCGCCGGAGGAGACCTGCCATTACAATAATAATTGGACTATTGGAGCACTTGTTAACAACAATTAGTGAGGCAATTATGCAATTACTGCAATAAACTATTATTCTGTCTGAGAGGGAAATTATTCCGTTGCAAACCAGTGGATCCTATTAACATAAAATAGACCAACAAAGGAGGAAGGTTGAATTCAGAGGATCCCCCGCGGCACATGCTTGAATAACCACAGTACATTTTATTGACTTTATAAAAAAAAATCAAAACAAGTTAAAGTGATCTGCAAACACTGAAATATCATTGTGCTATAAAAGTTTGTCTATAAATGTTTGCGAGCCACTGGGCCATATTTGGCTCACAGAGCGCATCAAATTGACGCACCGCCTTCCATTCAGCCGCGCGCTGGTGTGACCAAAACCCTCATTGTGTGCAGCAAGGCCACAGGAAGAAGAGGAGCAGGTATGTGGGCAGGTGTTTGCTGAGGCGGCGAGAAAATAAAATGAAAATATTGACAGGATTTTATGAAAAGCCACGCGACGGTCGCGCTGACGAGGCTGTGATCCGGAGATCAAACAGAAATGGCGCCATGAATTTCTATAGACTGGTCCAGGGGGTTATTTAAAGACTTCTTACTTTGGTTTGGGAGCACAATGAGCCCTGTTTGTCTCTGTGTGCCGGGCTGAGCGCGTGAAAAGGGCAGAGGCGCACATTACCATCGCTTAAGGTTTTCTCAAGAGCCGAAATGAAGTGACTGGAAAGTAACTTTATAACTCGCTGGAGGATGAAACCTTTTGTTTGAGCTCGGAGCTGAAAGACACTGGAGGCTGACAAAAGGGAGCGCGCCATTGTTCGGGAGTTAAAAAGCGCACGGGCATTGATGCGCCTTGAATTGCAAAACATCTGCCATTTATTCTGCACGATTTGAATGAGAACCAACAAGCAGCTCTTGGTGCACCGTGCGTAAAACAGCAGTCACGAGCAAGGTTGGATTTAATATGAGACCATCAAAACAGTGTTAAAATATTCACTTTTCATTAAAGAGCAGCAGCTTTGCACTCAAAGCTCAAATGTCTGTTGCCTCACATTTTGTCTTAGTCTGTGGCCAACAAACATCAACAGGGTTTCTATTTTGGGGCTCAAAAGGATGGACCAGTTGCTGGTCAGGCCTTTCCCATGGGTTTCCCCTTTATCTGAGCAAAGTGGAAAATTGAAAGCTCCAAGTGAAAAGCCGTGGGGCGTTCCTGTGATTCTCCTCGCTCTATATTTTCTAGAAAAAAAAAACCTGCTCCATCATCAAAACGTAAACGAGAGAAGAAAAAAAAAATCTCAACATTAAAACAGAACTTATCAGGAGGATTTGTCCCTATGAACTTAAAAGTTTTAATTTCATGCAGAGGTCTTCATCGTGTGTGGTGAAAACAGCTGAAATTGGTATGAAATTGTCAATTTGTTGGTGTCAGCGCGCTCCGCTCCCACAGAGGAGCCATATGCTGCGCTAAGTGGCACTTCATTTTCACCAATTCGTTCCTAGTTTCACGGTCCATCCTCTGTTTTTTTTTCTTGCCTGGAAGCTGAAAAAGCCACAACAAAATGGCAATTTACCCAGCAGACCCCCTGAGGCAGGACTCTTTCCGTTCGGCTTGGTGGGGGCGCAGCAGACCCCCACCGAGCACCACCGCGTGAAACCTTTAAGAAAAGGTCGAGCTGCAGCTCTGAGTCGTTTTATTTCAGTAAATATGTCACCCCTGACCCAAAGATGTAAACTAGTTGTAGAGGATCCATGAGTTTAGACTGATTTGATTTAAAAAATATTTTTCAAGACTTTATTAGTGTATACTCTGATTTTGGTGAAATTACCATTTGAATTATTGGCTAACTTTTTTTTTTTTATGAGCATCCACATTTTTGTAAGACTGCAGAAGCAAACTGTGTATCATTTCTTCACGTTTTATTCTAAAGGAGACCATTTCCTGTTAAAGGAACAAAGAAGCAGGGGAGATGTTTTTATTTTATTTTATTTATTTATTAATCTACTGTTGATTTAACCAAGGGTAAAATGTTGGGATCCTCAATTACCAACACGCTCCACCATTTATACAAATAGTTTTCAGTTATTTTAATCAGAATTAATTTCACTTTTTGATTTTTTTGTGTACTATATAGAATATGATAAATAGATGGAGTAGATAAGATATATATATTTTTTTAATGTTCATATATTTGACTTTTACTATGGCGCCATCTTGTGCTCAAAGTAGTTATTGCAGCTGACTAAAGTAAACCTGACCCACCTGCCAGAGGTTTAGATGAGATCATCTTAAACTGAGGAGGTATAGAATTAGATAATTTTGTTCATACCTTTCAAAAACTTTATGAGCACTCAGGACAGTTAGGGATTTAAAGTCCATGAGATATTTTCCTAATAGATGATGAAACACACTCTGTAGTGGAAACCATAAAGTTACTTTTTATTTTAATCAATCAACCTTTATTTAAGTGTTAAATGATTCATTATAAAATGAATCATTATCTTGTTACTTTGAGCGCTTTTTGCAAACTTAAAAAAAAACGACAAAGGATATCGTGTCAACAGTGCCTGTGTTTAAGATCTTAAATTGTCATTGTTTTAAATTCTTATTTATTACAGTTATTGCCCTTTACTGTTTTATTGTATGTTTTATATATTTCTAAGTATTTTGTTACTTGTTTGTTTTTATGACGTGCGCTGATGCCAGGTCACCCTTGTGAAAGAGGTCTTGATCTCAATGGGTTTTTATCTGGTTAAATAAAGGTAAAAAAAATAAAACATCATTATTGTTATAGAACAGGTTGGCATGAACAATCCAAAAATAATCACCGTGATAATGTGGCGTTTCCCTTTATGTCTTAGTTTCACCAAACAATCTCCAAACCTATAGTGTGTGAACTCCGGTGTTTTATTTTAGTCATTTTCACAAGAAACCTATTAAAAACATCAAACATTACATAAATGTTCAGGCATTTATCTGGGATGTTGTTGTTCTTAGTCAACGAGATGATGAAGCTTTTTACAATAAATCTTTTTTTTTATATAAAGTCAGAAAAGTCCATTCCCCCATAAAAGCTTCAGATACAGTTTGTTCACTAAACTAAACCACATAAAAATCTCATCAGTGTAGAAACAAACACACTTCATTTCTTTTTACATTTAGGTTGAATTTTTTTTAAGTATAATTCTTTGTTTGTTTTAACATTACAGGATCAAACGATCACATCACCTCAGTGTCTGAAGACAGAAACATGAACGCTGTGACATCATCTACTGGCTGACTGTTTTGGTATAGTTCTGTATGAGGCCCTGAAAGTACTGCTGCGTGTTTCTCTGGGGTTGAAATATGATGATGTAACATTTTGGTAGAAAATACCACAACAGACAAGAGTAAAGGCTGGAGAGGACTGCCAGAGCATTGAGAGTTTGGATGAACTTTCCATGGTAAAGCATGTACACAGTGACGAACAAGATCCAGGTGAGCATCAGAACCAGCAGGCAGAACGTTATCGCTTTGGCCTCGTTGTAATTCTTTGGCAGGTCTTTGCCCATGTAGGAGAAAAGAAAGCAAAGACAGCTCAGCAATACAAGTAAAACAAATGAACAAGCTGTTGCTTCAAGGTTCAAATAACAGAAAAGTACTATTTGTTCTGGGTACCACGATGTTTCGTTGTAGGGTCTGGGAGGGTCATAACAAAAGCTAATAATCAGCAACACGGCCTGAGTGACAAACGCTCCAGTGATGAGCAGCCATTGGCCGTGATATTTCCTCCACCAGCCTTGGAGTTTGGGGAATTTGGCAGATATTTTGAAAATGCAAACTATTTGAAAAGAGCGCACAACAAAACATGCAAGACAAACGGTGTAGAACAGAAAGAACGGGAAGTATCGTAAGACGCAGGAAGCAGCTGTGGGCTTGTCAAAGTAAAAGAACACACAAACACTACACAGACTGAGGCAGGCTAAAACCAGGAAGCACATGGGTCCTCCAGCAGATCTGACAACAGGCGTGTTGTAGTTGACGGCAAAGAGAACCGACACAGCCAGAGTCAGGCCCACGAAGAGCCAGGCCCCGACCATGATCACTACAGCCCCGCTGTCTGTGAGGGGGATGAACTCCACCAGCCGCAGACTGCACGATGCACTTCCTTCTGCAGACCACTCTGTCTCCTCACAGCGGACACACGTGTAGGGATTTTCTGTTAAAGGGCAAACACAGCGGCAAAATAAAATTCCTCCCTCGTTAAAGATCCAGACTGCTGTTTAAATCACCGTATTATATTATATTATTATTGTGTAGTTAGTGTAAAGAACGATGAAGCTTGATATCTGACACATTTAAGAAAACATGGATTGACGCACAACATCTCGTAGATGTTTCGAATCTCCCGTGAAGCAGTAACAGCAGTCTTAACATGATTTATAGGCACCTGTAGCATTGATGTAGGTTCCATTTGGACAGATTTCACATGTGAAGCAGCACCGGTGGATTTCATTTTGCTTTCTTGCGTATCCCCGAGGACATTCTGGGGAACAAAACGAAGTAGGCGCCTGCAAAGACAGCAACAAACAAGACCGCGGTAAACAAAAACACTTGCTGTAATTCAGAGGTTTATAGCATTTGAGATGTTTAAGCTTAGACGTGTCAACCTAATGTTTCAACTTTTAAATATCATAAGGCCTCACACTGTCTTTTTAAACTGCGCTGTCATTTTGTTTTCGTTGTTTTTTTAATGTTTAAGAATGATAAATTCTTCTGTTCGCTTGCTCATCTTGCAGTTGGATCTTTGACCAGATTACAACGTGCGCACCGTCCAAACCCATAAATGAGCAAACTCAGGCAACACAATGACATATTTAAAATGTGTTTTTTTTTAAAACATTAAAATGATGTTTTAACTCTATTTAACAGAACATTGCACACAAGTTTTTGAAGACTAATTTACCTAGCATTTACTAATAAACAAGCAAAACAATGGATTAAAACAAATGGAAAGCACAGGTTTTCTTATTTCCTCTTTTTCTAATTTTAACCTAATTTAATGTAATTTGTGGTATTTTGTTATTGCAATCTGAAAACTCATAAAAATGCACCTGCGGTCTCACTTTAGAGTTGTAAATTTGTGAATCCTGGCTCTATAATACCCCAATTTTTAAAAAGGGTTCATAATTGCATGCTTCATATTAACTATATGAGATAAGTTACAATGATATATTTGAACACCAGTTCACCGACATTAATCCTCGAGGAAAAGGAGAAGCAAAACAAACCATACATTATGGAAAACTGGATATATTTTATTACAGCAATAAGGAAATATATATATATATATATACA